TTTACTTTTCTGCAAAATAAACAATGGTCTACTATTACTTCGTCCCACTTAAGTTAGTTAACAAGTCTTTTGAGAGACTACAAAACAATGTGCTTACAAATCAAAACATTGAAAAGAACAAGAAGTAATTAAACATGAACTCTGAGCAACAAGACAGTATGCTCAGACATGCCAAGTGCAGATTCAATTTCTCTCCCTTCAATGTCATATTAAGATAATTGAATCCCTGACATGGCACAATCCATTAAAGCATTACACTCAAATAGAACAGTCACACCTGGGCTAACAAGGAGCAATACAGGTGTGAATAAGGTGTTTTGTTTGTTTAGTGTGTTTGATTCTGAAAATGTTGTAAGAATCACTAGTTAAAACATACAGCCGCCGAGCACAAATGTTCCTGGTACAGTCCAAATAGCAATGGTAGCAAGGCTAATAATCCAGTTAGATTACAGCTAGTAATCATTGAATTGACAGATCTTAGCACTTAGGGATCGATTCCAAACACTGAAGGAAAACAGCAGCATGGCTATTCCATGCTAAAGATTGCTTGCTGTTGTTTGGGACAAGAAAAAGCACTCAATTAAGCTTCCACTCTTACCATGCAGCTATACCTGAATGCTAATGATGATACTCAACAGAAGTGAGCAAGTAAAACCCAGTAACAGCTAAGCATGTGCTCTGCATTTTATGCAAGTGTTTACAAACAGTGAATTTTCAAAATCTTTAGAAGAATTCAAAGAAGATGACACTATTTCAGCTGCCTGCTGCCAACATCATGGCTGGTCAATCAGAAAAGCAAAGGTGAGTTTTAAGAAATAAATAAGCAAAAAACAGAACAAGAGAAAATTTCCCCGAAGTAAAATTTCCAGAAGTGGATGAATCAAAAAAGGCAAAATAAAATAAATGAAGCCTGGTGGGCAAAGCTTTACCCTGTTCCCTTCTCAAGATGAAATGAGAACTTGGGAAAATCTTACACTTACACTTTCACTAAGTATTTCTTTGACATCAAGCTTCACAAGGTGCAGAGATAATGCCAATCTAACCAAATGGCTTCCAGGAAAGCCCAGCCATATTATGTCACCATACCTGAGCCAGCTCCTTAACACGCTTCTCCAGGGGTGTTGGCAGGCCTTCGGGGAAGGAAGAGGGCTGCCTGAATTCCTGATCCAATCCCACCCCAAGGGAATCGCTTCCATCATCCATATCTCGGAAAGGGCTTCCTTCTGGAGACTCACTGAGCAGCTGCTCCAAGTCCAAATCCGTCAGGGAGTCCATGGCAGTGGCAGCTTGGAGTAAGTCATTGTCAGAAGTGGAGCCAAAGAGTGAAAGCAAGGGGTCAGAAGTGCCCTCCAGTTCCCTCAAGCCCTGAGCTTCTATTGAAGACACAGGTACAGGCTTATGCTCCTCCTCCCTCTTTTTCTGAGCCTCTTTTTCTTTCTGAAATTTCTTTAGCATCTCTCTAACACTTAGAGACCCAGAATACTTCTTCTTCTTTTTCTCCTTACTGGCATTGAGGGCTGTGAAGCTGCAAGGAAAAGAGAAACTTGTTACCCAGGTTGTAGGACTCTCCATGAGAAACTCAGCAGGCTTCTCCCTGCTCCCAGGGAAGGGTCTCCATGAAAGCCTTTGTTCTTTCTGTCAGTCCACTCTGTTATCATGCCTCCATCCTCTTGACAGAGAGAACTTGTTCTTACTGGATCACAATCACAACTTGAGCATGAACACAGATAAGTAACACAGTATCATACAACGCTAAATATCCAATGGGTTTTTATGAACCATTGCTAGGCTAAAATAAAAATTTGCAAAAATTGGGAGAGTCAAGAAAAGTATTTCAAAGAAGAAAGCACAAGAGGCAGCAAACAGCAGCAACTTGTTTGGGCTGACCGAGTAGGGAGGAATCACGACCATAGAAGACAAAAGAAAATAACAGAGACAGAAGAACTGGGGCAGAGAGGAGTGCCAAAAGAACAAGGAGCATCAGCAATCACATGGTGACAGAAATAGCTGCCAACACTGACAAGGGAGCATAGGTACAGGCTACCTAACACAGAGAGGTGAGAGTGGCTGACTTGCCCAGAACATCCCTGTCAGAGGAGAGGGGAAAGGAAGGTCAGACCCTACAGCCTCTTTTGAAGCAGAGGAGGGGGCAGGAAAGTCAACTCCCAGGAATCATGCCCTCGGGTGCCCTTATGGGCCAGACTTTTTCCTAGCGAAAGCTGCTGCCTCTCACCCAGCTTTGGAAAACTTGGACTTTTTCGATTTTTTCTCCTTGTCGTAAGTGTCATCTTTTTTCTTCTTCTTTATCTTTTCACCACCTTCCTTCAACTTCCGCTTCTGAGAATTAAAGACAAGGCACAGTCACCCAACTCCCTCAGTCAAAGAGCAAGTACACTGGGCAGCAGTGGCCTTGCTCTGCGAGGGGTGCATCTTCAGACCCATCCCACTTCTTTCATGAAAAAAAAAAAAACCCTCTCTCAAAACAGTCCCTAGGTCAGAAACCCACAGCATCCCAACAACAGTGTTTTCTACAAACATCCAAGTAGAGACATGGTGGCTGCTCAGAAGATATATTTGGAATGGACGATAAGTGGGCCCTCTCATTTTAAATACCAGGCAGTGGTAGCCAAGCCCGAAAATACACTCAAATCTAAGGCTGGTCAGTTTTTAGTGGGTGACAACCCTAGAACTACAGTCTTCTCCAAGTCCACGGTAGAGAAGCCAACAAGAGTGTGCCCATATCCCCATGACTCTCCCTACCCTGAGACTTATCTGGAAACATGACCCTGCTGGAGTATCTTGAGACATGGATGAAATGACTGAGACCTGACCAGTATCCACCCCCATGTTCACATTATATATCTGTCCACTAGTCTACTGGGTCATCCTGAGACTGCATATTCTAGAGTAACCTACTGATCTCAAAGAGTCACATCAAAACTTATTTCTGAAATCCAAAAGGAAGAATATTCTAACCTTTGGAGATTTTTTCTTCTTTTCTTTAATGAAGTCATCCTCAGATTCTGAAGCTTGTCTAAACTGCAAGGTTCCCGAGTTAATGTAAAATCCTCCATACTTTGTGGTCAAAGAAGCAGGAACAAGTTCATCATACTAAAGGGGAAACATACAATCAGCTCCCACTTCTGGTTCTATAGTCCAAAATACAAAGCACATCTTAAGGGATGCAACTAGAATTTTCTATTACTCTTCAGACACTATTACTCTAAGACATCCTCTCATCAATCACTAGTGTGCAAAGTTTCTAGATGGTTTGGAAAGAAGAGGTCATGGTTTTCAAATGAAAAAAAAAGACCCAAGTCCTGGGTTCAAGGAGGTCCCTTCCTATTACATTCAGTGCTGCTTGTGCTAAGAGGACACAACTGAGATGCCACACCTCTACTTCCCCACTGTCAGTATCATACAATAGAATATTAACTACTCACCGCCTCAGAGTTATCAATGAAAGAATCCGATTCATCATAGCCATACCCCATATCAATCAAATCCTGTATTCGGTCTTTCCTACGTTTCTTTCCACCCTGAAATTTAAAAGCAAGGTATCACATGCTTTTTGATAAGTACAATGAATTAAATGTTGCCTTGAGTCTCAACAGCTAGTGATTAAAGGTTGTAAAGCACCAAAAACATATACTACTCCCACCCCTTGCCTTTCACTCACACACTCTCTCTCTCTCACACACACACACACACACACACACACACACACACACACACACACCCCTTCCCCTAAAGACCTCTGGAAATTGGGCAGTTTATATGTTCATAAATGGCCTAAGACAGAAGAATGAAATAAATGGATTCTTCTGCTCCGTAACAAAACACATCCTTTAAGGCCTTATTTATGTGCCTATTTAAGTCACATATTGCTCCTGCCACATAAAGAGTTCTGTACCTTAATGCATTTGTTTAATAGCATTTGTATTGTTTCCTCTGAGTACTACATCTATTTCCAGATCACTTCTGACTATCCACTAAGTGAACATGCAAGTGTCTATAGAGACTGCTCTTACTAATGAGGTTGTCGTATTGCCCAACACAGAAATCTTACATATTTTTCTTCAAATTTCCGTGCAAGGGCCTCCACCTTATGCCTTTCTTTTTCTTCATCATTGAAAGGATCCAAGACATCTTTTTTCTAGAAAGAGATCATTCCACAAAAAAATGAAATATACAAAAAGCCACAGTCCTAGTTAAAGAACTTTCAATGACTACCCAACACTTAAAAATTATGTAATAAAAACTATTATTCAGATATAGCAAGAGAGAATATATGCTACCATCACACTATGTTTTATTGTTTAAAAAAACAGAATTTCAGCAAGTTTATTAGTACATTGTAGTCTTAGCTACTAGAAAGGCTGAGGCACAAGAATCTCAATTTCAAAGCCAGCCCTGACTACAAAGTCATTGGCTACACTGTCAAGGCTAGCCTAGAAAACGCATTGAGACCTTGTCTTAAACAAAAGGAAAAAAGGGCTGAATAAGATCTTAGGCTCTGCCCCAGAACCATACATTAAAGAGAAGAGAGAAAGTTGGGAAATGTAATTCAAGAAAACATGATCAAATATCTACAATGGCCTACACTGGGGCTTCAAACAGTGCAAAGGGCCTTTGCTAGAGATACTCAATGTCTACAGAACTGTGTTTAATACAGTTGATTCTTTTTGTAACACTTGTTTTAGGCACTTTAAAACATTTTAAGGGTCATAGGCTTCAAGAAACGTCTAAAACAGTCAAGGTTCAAAAAGGTTAAAATGAGTTTAAGAACACCAATTTCTCTTTAAAGGACTTGGATTCAATTTCCAGCATCCACATGGCAGCTCATAGCCATGTCCAACTCCAGTCTCAGGAAATGTAAGACCCTCTTCTGGTCTCTAAGAGCACTGCATGAATGTGGTACATAGACACATATGCAGACAAAACATCCATACACATTAAATAAATAAATAATAAACAGGATTTTTTAAAGGTTAAAAAACATGTTCTCTTTGGCAGCATATACATTAAAATTGGAAGAATACAGAAAAGACTAGTATGGCCCCTGTTGCAAAGATAATATACAAATCCATAAAGTGTTCCATATTTAAAGAAAAAAAAAAAGTTAAAAACCCACTAAATGTAGTACATCTTATTGACAGCCATTCTAGCTTTAGAAAAATGGTATAAGGAGTTGAGAACTTAGCCCACTGGTACAGTGTTTGCCTAGAAAGCACAGACATTGAGGAAAAATAAAGAGGAACCAAAAACAAAATAATTATTCCAAATATTTTCACGTAGTCTTCTAAAGTTTATTTTTATTCCATAAGTTTACTCATGTATTTTTTCTAATCAAGTAAATCTTCCATAGCTGGATTTATGTTCTTGGGCAAGGAATCTTAGTATTAATACAGATAATATTAAATATGCTAAGACTTCAGAGTACAGATAAAATAGTAAAAATAGATGCTTGCTTCAAAACAAATGTCTCCAGGCAAGGCATGGAGGTACATGCCAATAATTTCAGCATTTGAAAAACAGAAGCAAAAGAAAGTTCTAGGGCTAGAGAAATGGCTCAGTGGTTAAGAGCATTGAATGTTTTTCCAGAAGATCAGAGTTTAATTCCCAGCACCCACATGGCAGCTCACAAATGTCTGTAAATCCAAGATCTGACACCTTCACCCAGACATACATGCAGACAAAACACCAATGCACCAAAAAAAAAAAAAAAAAAAAAAAAAAAAAGGAATTCTAGCAGGGTATTGTGATACATGTCTGTAGTCCCACCACTCAGCGAGGCAGAGGCAGGCAGAACTCAGAGATGGAGGACAGCCTGGTCTACAAAGCAAAAAAAATAAAATAAGGCAGAGTTCTAATCCAGTCCAGATTACATAGTAATTATAATTTCCAACCTCAAACAAATAAAAAAAGAAAAAAAAATTCCTTTATTCTACTTTCCAGTCTACTAAAATCCACCCACTCAGAAAGATCATATAGTATGTATACATACTGGAATACTATGGTGCATACAAGGTACAAACATTTATAATAATAAACGAGTGGTTTTCATATATGTGTAAGTATTTGCCTGCATGTATATATGTGCATGTCTGGTGCCCAAAGAGATCAAAGGAGGACATCAAGTTCCCTGGAACTAGAGTTACAAATGATTGTGAGCCACCATGTGAGTGCTGGAAATGGAACCTGGTTCTAGAGAGAGCAGGAGTGTTCTCAATCACTCAGACATCTCTCCAAAACTTACACGGGCTGTTTTTAAAAACATGTGCTGCTTTTTTGTATCTTCTAATATTTCTACAATGATTACATATAACTTAAAATGGCTAAAATAACTTTCAGAAATTCTATTTTTTTTTTTTTTTGACAGTGGTGGTAGCACACCCCTTTAATCTCAGAACTCCAGAGGCAGAGGCAAGCAGATCTCTATTGTTTTCAAGACTAGCTTAGTCCAAAGAGTGAGTTCCAGGACAGCCAGAGCAGTTACAAAGAGAAACCCTGTCATGAAAAAAACAAAACAAAATAAGACAAAACAAAACAAAACAAAACTCCATTTTTGAGCAATACCTAATTCAACATGAACTCCTTAAAGCTATGCTAATACATCTTTCAATTATTATTTCTGAACCAAAGATTCAGCTCTGTCCAAACACAGCATCCCGGCCATTACTGAGTTCAGCCAAAGGCCTCTGGGGCTTAAACCTCAACATACTGTAACTTCTGCTACCTGTGCTCCTAGAATTTTCTTGAAATGCCTATAAAACTCTAAATTCCCATGAGGCAAGGACAGTCTTTTCCATTTTTATATGGTTCTCACTGCGCAGCAGTACTTCACATTGTAAAGAACATATGCTAAAATAAATAAACAGGCAAATGTACCAGATTATACTGGGAGTGGGTGCCCAGGACCTTATCTATACTCTTAACACTACAAGACCTGTAACTCCAGTTCCAAGGGCTCTCACACCTTCTTCTAGTTTCTACAGGTACCAGGTATTCATACAGTGCACAAACATACATGTAAGAAATACACTCATACATTTTTTTTCTTTCTTTTTTTTTCCCCAAGACAGGGTTTCTTGGTGTAAACAGACATGGCCACCCTGGAACTCTCTTTGTACACCAGGCTGGCCTCAAACCCACAGAGATCCACATATCTCTGCTTCTGCTGGGATTAAAGGTGTGTGTTACCACACCCAGCTCTCATAAAATAAACTTTAAAATAATAAATAAACACATTTTTAGTCAGGTGTGCTGGCATACAGCTTAGTATCAGCATTCAGGGGTACAGGCAGGAGGATCAGGAATTCAAGAGCATCTTGTTATATAGGCCAGTCTAGGCCACATGCAACCCTGCCTCAAACAAGACAAAACAAACATAACCCTATACATTTTTATTTGAGAAAAGGAATGCTTCTAACTGGACATGCTTCCTCCAAATATCCCCAAAATCAACCAGGCTAAGTAAGTGCTTGGTACTGAGAACTATGCTAAAGACTTTACCAACACAATCTCATTCCACCTTCAGACACTTGTGTGAGCCAGGTGCTGGCTTCATCCTTGTTCTACTAAATGCCACTAGAGACCAAAATGCTAAAAGTTTGTGTGGTCCTACTTACCTTCTCTTCTAAGCCTAACACAGTGTACTAGTATCCAGTAAATGCTTAAAATGCTCTTCATCTAGCTCCTACTCATTATGTATGATTCTATATACATATAGCACAAAGATATGCAAAACTGGTCTTGATTGACAGCAGTTGCCTGTGAGGAGGGGGGACAGTGCGGCAAAACAAATGTTTCTAGCATCCTGGTAAATGTTGTATTTTGTGAACCATGTGTAGGTTTGTATGGTTGTGTTGAAGGTTTGTGAAAAATCCACAAACTTTATGATATGTACTTTTTTCTTTTTTAATGTATTTCTTTTATTTTTACATACATTGGTGTTTGACTGCATGTATGTATATGTGACGGTGTCGAATCCCCTGGAACAGGAGCTACAGTACACAGTTGTGAGATGCCATGTGAGGGCTGGGATTTGAACCCAGGAAGAAGAGTCAGTGCTCTTAAACCACTGAGCCATCTCTCTAGCCACCCCACGATATGCACTTTTTTAAAATGTATGTATGACTCAAAAAACTTTAGATTTTTTTTCTTTAGTTGTATACAGTGGTATAAATATATAGTCCCAGCATTTAGGGGGTCTGTCACAGGAAGATCTTAAGTTTAAATTCAAGGTCTGCGTAGGCTACACAATTAGACTATGTGCTACTTGGTTTTTTGTTTTGTTTGTTTTGTTTTTTTCCAGCTTGACACAAGCTATAGTCATCTTGAAAGAAGGAGCTCAACAGAGAAAATGTGACCATCAAATTAACTTGTAGGCAAGTCTGTAGGTATATTTTCTTCACTAACCGATGTGGAATGGAACGGCCTACTTTGGTGGTGACACCCTTGAGTAGGTGGTCCCGGGTAGTGAAAGAAAGTAATTAAGCAAGCCAAGAAGCAACACTCCTTCATAGCTCCTGCTTCTATTTCTGCCGTAAGTTCCCTTCATGATGGACTGTGGGTTATTAGCTGAAATAACCCATTTCCCCTCCCCAAGTTGCTTTTGATTTCTATTTCAAAGCAATAGAAAGCAAAGAAAGACACTGTCTTGAAAATATATAAAAACACACACTTTTTAAAGTGCTGAGTGGTAAACACTGTAACAGTTGAAGATGGGAAATAGGTACATGGGTGTTACTTATACTATAATCTCTATTTCTATGTATATTTGAAAAGGCATGCATGTTTGCAAGTTCCATACTAAAAAAGTAAAACAAATGTGCCAAGAAAAGAAATTCATCAAGGCTGGTGAGAGGTCAGCATGGGCAACATGAGATCCTTGGCACTTGCTACAAAGCCTAATACTGAGTTCTAGTCCCATGTCCTACATGATGGAAGGAGAGCTCTGAGTACCACAAGCTGTTCTCTATCTCTCTGACACACACGCGTTCCCTCTTCATAGTAAATAAATGCATGTTTTAAAAAAAGGGTTTTTTAATAAAGAAAGAAAAATAAACAAATCAGTTAAAAATCATTTTAAGAAACCAAACTGATTTTCAAACAGCTTGATGCTTACAAAGACAATTCTGGCAAAAATAAATAAAAAAGCAGAAGATTTCTGCAAATCCAGAAACAGAAACTACTCAAGACACTACTGTTCAGAAATGATGAGCCGTGTTGGTATCGTCCTATCTGTCCTTCCACAAGAGTAGGCAAAGAAAAGCACACAACACTGCAACCATCAAAAGAATGATCTCACATGTACCATACAAGTGTTAGTATAAAAAAAAGTGTTGCTTTTTATTTATATAGTGAGCCATAATTCAAACTAGCCTTGAATATCTCTAGCATAAGTCAGGAGGATAGCCTGGGCTGCCCTGGAACTCACTATATAGACCAGGCTAGCCTCACACTCAAAGATTCACCTGTCTCCGTCTCCCAAGTGCTGGGATTAAAGGTGTGCGCCACCAGTGCTCGGATGTCAGGATTCTTAGAAGAATTTTCTTCCTCCTCCCCACCCCCATCCCCAGTGCTTACTTCTAGGAGAGAGAAATGACCTCAGAGCAGCCCAGACCTCTCTGGCCCTCACTTCCCGGATATAAAGGCCCATGTGAACACATTGGTATCTTCATGTTAGGTATACAGAGCAAAAGGAATGTACCTTGTCTCCTGGATGAAGGCCTTTCACCTTCCCTCGGATGTTCTTCACCAGCTCTGGGTAGAAGAACTCTGGGCAGCGTTTGTGATCTGGTTCAAAGAGAGTGAGTGTAATCCGAACGGCTGCTGCAGCTGGATCACAGTCTTGATGCTGTTCTATTCCTCCAACCTCCTCTTTCCTGGACTTCTTCAAAAATGCAGGATTCAAAGCACCTGGGAGAGAGGTGAACTGGACCCTGTGGGGCTCCGACATGGCTACCAACAAGTTTTATCAGGTGTCACTGCATGGTTTCTGTTAACATTGAAAAGAAAAGCCAGGTCAAACCAAAATAACAAGGACAGACATTTTCAAAATAGGCATTTTCTTGTCAATTATACTGATTTTTAAAATTTTCATTGTCAAAAAAAATCCACTGATTCAGTCTTTTGTTTATTTTTTTCAAGACAGGGTTTCTTTGTGTAGCCTTGGCTATCCTATACTCACTTTGTAGACCAGGCTGGCCTCAAACTCACAGCAATCTGCCTGTTTCTGCCTCCCTGAGTACTGGGATTACAGGCATGAGCTCCCATGCCCGTCTTTTCACTTTTAACTCTAATCCATGTAGAACTTACTGTGCTCTATAGTGAGAACAGGCTCTAACTTGGTTTTTCCCCAGTACCAATTACAAAGCAGACCCCATATATCTAAGGTCCATGTGTAAAAACTGTGTTACATTAATCAAGTAGTAGAGAGATTGTTTAACTAGTACTGAACAGTCTTGAAAACTCTTATAATACCTTTAGTATCCTAAATTAAAAATTCATCTTTTTAAAAATAATTGTAAAAAATAATAATCAGATTTTAGCCTTTTTCAAATCAATTTTAGAATCACTTTTGCAAGTCCCCTCAAAAAATGTGACTATACTTTATAAAATGAATCACAAATATGAATTAATTCAGGATGATGTGCCTAGCTTCATATATATGTATAAGGATATGCAGCATATGTTTAATATCCATTCATATGATTATTGTCATAAAAAAATAAGGCAAGGGGTTAGGGATTTAGCTCAGTGGTAGAGCACTTGCCTAGCAAGTGCAAGGCCCTGGGTTCAGTCCTTAGCTCTGGAAAAAAAAAAAAAAAAAAGGCAAGACGATATAGGGATGGAAAAAATATACAAATATTTTTTTTTTTAAATCCATTCTAGCCAGGCAGTGGTGTCTCACACCTTTAATCTCAGCACTCAGAAGGCAGAGGTAGAGGCAGGCAGATCTCTGAGTTCAAGGCCAGCCTGATCCAAAGAATGAGTTCCAGGACAGCCAGGGCTACACAGTGAAAATCTATCTTGAAAAAAAAAAATCATTCTAATCAAGCAGTAAAATAAATGTCCTGGGCAAGGTTTACCAGCATGTACTAGGTTACCCTAAAAAGCACTCTAAAAGAAAATTCAAGGGCATAAGGACATTGGGAAATTCACCTGGCTATGAAAATAAACCTCAACAGAAAGTTTAAGGCTTACAGGCTCCCCACTTAAAGAGAGGAAGCACAATCTATAAGAAATTGATCAACAAGTTACTCAAACTGGAAGAAGGAAGTGGCAAGCAGATCTGAGTGTCTTTTTTAAACTGTAGCCTCATCTCAGTCCAGATTTTAGAGGACACATTTCAATCCACATAGCTAGTAACAATACTCCTGTCAGCTACCAAAGTCTGTGCAAGCATTAGCCAACAATGAGACAGGATTAGAGGACAAAGTAAATCAACCTATTAACTCTTAGAAGTCACATTTTAGAGAAGTATTATGATTATCACAACATACTATTTTGTTCTTGGGCTAGTCCATTTGAAACATTTAAGACAATCAAATATGTTAAAGGGCATGTTTAACCTACATATTTAATTCCAAATGCTTAAGAAAATAAAAGTTCTAAAGTCCATAAAAGAACCTGAATTTGCTGGACAGGTAGCTGTGATTTGAGGCCAGCCTGGGATAGCCAAGGCTACAGAGAAAACCTTGTCACAAACAAACAAACAAACAAACAAAAAAAAAAAAACCAAAAACAAAAACCAAAAAAACCCCTGAATTGTTTTTATACAATTAAATGTATGAGTTGTTTATAATCTTGTTAAGAGCTTACTATAAGGTTTACAAGTTCACCTAATTAGAACTATGAAGTAGCTAGGAGTTGGTGGCACACACAGCACTCAGGAAGCAGAGGCAGGCGGATCTCCATGAGTTTGAGGCCAGCTTGGTCAACAAAGGGTTCCAGGACAGCCAAGGCCATCCAAAGAAACAACCCTGTTACAGAAAAAACAAACAAACAAACAAAAGGAAATGCAAAGTACCTGAGAGAATTAAGAAAAAACTAAATGCAGTTTAAAATACTTTACAGAATTTAATTAACTTGGTCTAAATGAGAGTTTTAAGAGTATTTAATCTGTTTAACTTGGTGCTGTCTCAAACATTTGTTCCAGTTTAAGTAAAGTAATTTTTATTCTCGCATGCATTCATGAATGTGTGTGTGTGAAAACTTACAGAAGTTGGTTCTTTCATCATGCGAATTTCAGAGATTGAGCATAGGTTTCGGGCTTGGAGGCAGACACCCTTACCTGTTGAGCCACCTTTCAGACCCTCAGTTAATTTTTTTGACACATAAATTCTTAAATTTGTAAATAAAACATTAAGGAAAATTTACAAGTCTTAAAAACAGTTCAGAATGGGCTGGGAATGAAGCTCAGTAAAGTGCTTTCCTAGCACACTGAAGGCCCTGGGTTCAATCCCCACACTGAATTAAAATGGGAATGGTAATATACACCTGTAATATCAGCATTGTGGAGGTAGAGGCAGGAGGATCAGAAGTTTAAAGTCACTCTTGGCTACACAAGGAGTTGGAGGACAGCTTGGATTACATGAGACTCAGTCCCCAAATAAAATGATAAACAGGAAAAAGTAACCATAGAATAGGTTCTAGATATTCTGAATGAGTTGAATATTAGTATGTCACACAGGAAAAAAAATTCTTCTCTTTAAAAACCAAATTATGGGCCAGGCATTGGTGGCATATAGCTTTATGCCACCAGTTGAGGGGCAGAGGCAGGCAGATCTCTCAGTTTGAGGACTGGCTGGTCTACCCAGGACAGCCAGGACTACACAAAGAAATCTTGTCTTGAAAAACAAAACAAAAGACCAAATTATGGGAAAGTCCCTGGATTCCTCACTATCTCCAGGTATTCTCAGAGACTGTTTATGTTTTTATTATCATAAATATACTCTTTTTAACCATTTTAATTTTTGAACTGACTACCAATAAAACAGAAAAATGTGTATGCTGATTTTATCATGAATATCTTTCCCTATATAATGACTTTTCTCTTTTTATTGCAAAATGCAAAGTTTTATTACCTACAGAAATGACAACTTTCCTTTTACATTTTTGTTTTCTGTCTTATTTCATTCACTAGAATTTCAAAGACATTAGACAATGTATCCTTTGTTCTACTCCTGACATTAATGGGATTACTTCTAAATCTAATTGTAAAGATTCAGTGTTTAAGACACGTTGTTACAATATTCTTTAATTCCTCAAAAATGCTAATTCCTAAATTATGAACATATGTTGAACTGTGTTAAGTAATTTTACGAAATCTTAAATACACATTAAATGTATTCAGCTTGTGTTTAAAATAGCACAGTGTAATGACAGTCCTTGCAACTAATCTGTGATACTTCTGCGAAACTTGTTTCCAAAAACAAACAAAAACAAAAACGGGCCGGGGTCAAAGCGACCATCTAGTTTCTCCACCCCACCGCCCCCAGAACAATTTACAATCAAAGCCTCTACAGGGGACACTGCCTTGGGGAAAGGAACGTGTACCCGTCACCTTTGGAGCAGACGATGACTTAAGAAAGAAAGTACAGCTGTAAGTTAAGTCCACCCTAGACTCCCTGCCGTCTGTTCTGAAGTGAGACTTTCTGGCTCAAAGTCAGGCTTCAAGCCGGTCTGCGGAAGTTAGGGCAGCCGCCCTGCCCCTCGGCAGGTTAACAGTTCCCACTACGCTGTCATCTGTCTTCCAGCTGTCACAACTTCTTGCAAAGTGTCACACTACTTACGAAGGCTAACGCGGGAGGCTGGACTGGACCGCGGCACACACCGTTGTGCCCAGAGCCGACGCGGACCGCAGACGTCCCCCCGTGGCGGTCCTCATGCCGGCCCGGGACCTCCGGGCTGCGGCGCGGCTCAGCGGCCCGTTGCCGAGCGCTGCCTGCGGGCGCGCGGAGGGCCCGCACCGCAGCCCATGGCCGGGTCCCCGGCCCGTGGGAAGGGAGCCTCTCGACAAACCGCAGCTTTCTCTCGCCAGCCAGCGGGGGGAGCCGAGATGTGCCAAGTCCACGTCCAAGAAAACAAGTCAGGCGACGCTTGGCGGGGACGCCGCTCCGGAAGCCGACCGTCGAGCTGGCGCTCCTCAGCAGGCTGGAGCGCCCGCCCCGAGCGCGGGCTCGCGGGCAACCAGGGCCTCTTCCGTCCCCGGCTTGGACCGAGACTGGCTTCCAGGCCGCGCCGGGGTCAGTCAGGGCAGCACCCGGGCTCCAAGACCCATCCACCCGGCACCTCAGGCTCAGGAACGGCCCGGGATCCCCGTCCGGCTAACGGCCGTAACGGAAACAGCGAAAAAGACTGGAGATGAGGCCAGAGCTCCGGAAGCGAGCGGGTAGCTCAGTCGGCTCCCTTTCGCGCTATTCCGGCCGCGCCGCCTCCACCGCGGCTGCTTTGGACCGCGGACGCTTCGTTGTCACGAGCCGGAGGGAGGAGGGGGGCAGGAGCCTGGAGTCTCTGGGCTTCGACGCGCTGAGAGCGCGGCGCTTAGGTCACGTGTCTCCGAGCCGCCCAATGAGCGGCCGCGCCTCGGTGACGTCAGCGCATCCGCTCGGCGGATGACAGCAAGCCCCCGTCACGTGGTCAGGCCCACTCCAATGGGCGGTGCCGCGGCGACCTGAAGTTCCCGGCTGCCCGTTCGGCGGCGGTGGTTGGGTGGTAAGATGGCGGCTGTGAGTCTGCGGCTCGGCGACTTGGTGTGGTGAGTCCCAGCGACCAGGGCTGAGCTAAAGACGGCGCGAAGCTGCTTTTCCTGGTCATAGGGTTGGCAGCTGGCCCAGGAATTGCATTTATTATGCGCTCTTGGCGCGAAGAGTGGGGATGAGGAGATGCCGCCTCGCTGCGAACGACGCTGGGGCGGAAGGGGCTGTCCGGTCCTCAGGGAACCGAGGCCGAGGGGGGCCGCGGCGGTCCTTGCACTGAACCCCGACGCCATCCTAGCGGAGGGCTACAGCTCTGGAACCCGGGTCCCGGCTGCCACTGCAGAGAGCTCTGGCGTAGAGCGTAGTCCGGGGATCTCCGGGGCTCCTCTCAAAGCAGGAGAGGTTACCTCGCGGGAGACAGAGCCGTCCAAACCCGCGTTCGGATGGGGCAGACGTGGGCTCGAGGCTTGGCCCCAGGTGGCGAAATCCGACTGCCCAGCGCTGCTCCATGAAGAAACCAAGGGGAGGGGGGACTTCTCCTTTGCAAATGATGGCTAGGCGGTGACCAGTGCCTCTCGTTGTGTTCCTGTGTCCCCGACAACAGCTAGAACCAGGACTGACCATTGTCTCCTTCTTGGAACTGCGTAGTTTCCCGACCTAGAGAAAGGTTTCCATGATCATTTGTCAAAGGAAGGCTGATCTTGGGGTCAATTAAACCAATCTTAGGGAAAGTGTGTTTACAGAGAGAATTGTAATCAGCCCTGTCACTGGGAGGCCCCAGACCAGTGACTCTTAATGGTTTTGTTATTCTATATTCCTTCTCAGTGAAAGAGTACACAGACCTCAGGCACATATTTATACAGTTCTGTATTCATCTGTGTGGGTCCTGAACCCAGCTGTGGAAGGCACATTAAGAACTCTGGTTCGCCTGCTTTTGTTCTGGCCCTTTGAGAGTGCCAGCCTAGAGTTTGGAGCATAAATTGCTTGTTGAGTGGGCTGAAGGAGATGGATGGCTTTTCCAGGGCAAGTTCTTACTCTTTGTATTATTTTCTCTAGGGGGAAGCTGGGCCGGTATCCTCCCTGGCCGGGAAAGGTGAGTGAATTGCTGCTATTTAAGGAAGACAGCTGAAGTTGGAAATGAAGGGTGTGGGAGACTGTTCCAAGTTTCCCTCATTCTCTAAAACTGACTTAAAATGGTCTCATTCAGATAAAACTTTATATTTTACCTTTAGTTATCGGTTGGTTTTGAAAGTTATATAATAAACTAGAGTGTTAATATAGAGTAATCACTTCTTCAGTCAGAGATGGATTGTGAAATTTGTTGTTTTTTATCAATTCTAATCAGAATGTAGCATTTTACTTAAATCTAAGAAAGAAGAAACAGATTCTCTAGGAAGAGGGAAGTCTAAATGTAGGTTAGTGAAAAGCCAAAGTATTTTTGTCCCAACTAAGTTTAAATCTTCTTCCCTGTTACCATATGTGCTGCTCCGGTGCATCTCTGCAGAAGTTGGCATTCCAGATTTTTCAAGAGGTGATCCATCATAGCTTTCCAAATGTTCTACTAGGAATCCAGGAAATGTCTGTAGACTCTTTGCAATATGGTGTTTCCTGTGTCTCAGTGGCCCTTTATTTACACTATTTTCCATCCTGACTCTTGCTACACCAAAAGTATTTTGAAGAATCTTCTGTTTTTCAGTAAGCATATCATGTGTAGGGAGAGGTGATGTAAAAGAAATAAAAGTTCCTTTTACAGGGTGATGTTGCTGTTAGTTTTAACTGCTTGTATAGCAGGAAGTATTACAGTAAAAACTATCTACTGAACAGTACACTGCTTGTTGGGATATGGAGAATTTAAAGAGTATTTGCACATTTCATTACAACACAATAGAAAAGTGCCAGGTATGGGATGAGTGTAAAACCTTGGTTTGGTTTTGGACATTGTCATTTTGAGTATTTTTTCCAGCCTACTTAGAGCTGTGGCAAATGACTTTTCTAGTAGACTGCTGTGTTCTCATCATAACTTTTTACCTCTTTATTTTTCAGATTGTTAATCCACCCAAGGACTTGAAGAAACCACGTGGAAAGAAATGCTTCTTTGTGAAGTTTTTTGGAACAGAAGATCAGTGAGTAGTATTCCCTAAGAGTTCGTGTTGCCTTTGTGTATTCCCCTTAGTATATACTGTTCTGTGAATATTCTAAGGTTCCTTAGTTCAAGCTTACTATAGTGTGTGAAAAATGGCACCTCATTCTGACTTTATACCTAAATAAGAGATAGTATTCTTATCTTGCAAAAATTATTCTGAGGCCAATGGTAATGTCCTTCAGGTAAGAACCAGGGTTCATAACTGTCTACATATTATAGGCCCATTGAAGTAGTTGTATCTTTTCTTTATCAACAGTTCCTGTTTGCAGTCATTCTCTCTCTCTCTCTCTCTCTCTCTCTCTCTCTCCCTCTCCCTCTCCCTCTCTCATCAAATTTTAAAATGTTTTGTAGCTTTAGGGCTGAACCCAGAGCCTTGCCTACACTAGACAAGCATTGACCACTGAGTTAGGTGGCCAGTGATTTTGTTTTAATGTACTATGGTCTGTTTTTGAGGTACATTGAAAGCGAAGGTGTTATTTGATAAAAGTACTTATTTGATCCTGTTCTCATTTGTAAAACGAAGTAATTTACTATGTCATTGTAGTTAAAAGGCTTTATTTCCCAGTGTGTCCTGAACTGGAAGACTCTAGGACCATTATTTTGAGAGTCTGACTTTACAGAACACAGTTTTAAAAGTTACGCTTAGGGAAAAATGTGTAGTGACTTGAATTTGCAGTGATTTGTTTAGTGTTCTCCTCACTACAAGATGATTGCATGAGTCTGGCTTGGTAACTTGGTTTCTTTAAGCAGTTGTTTCTGTATTACTGATTAAAGAAAAATGTTACTTTAAGTTCAAAAAAAGTGATTTTTCTTTTAAGTCTGACATCGATGACTAAACTATCAATTCCTTAAAAGGAGTATGTAATATTCTGTATGAAAGTCCTTTACAAATTGTTTCACACATTTAGGAGTTTGTGTGTCAGCATGCTCTTCAGGTTTCGGTTTATATAGTATGTTGACCTTCACAATACAGATATACCCTGCCTCCTTTTTCTTTTGGTAAGCCAGCTTACCAGCTTTGTGGCGGCAGTATTTCAAGGAAGAGTACCGTGACTTGTGAGAGCAGAGTCTGTGAAGAAGAGATGTTGTTCAATGTCATGAATTGAGACTAGACTAGAGCTCAGTGGTAGAGCACTTGTCTATCATGTGCAAAGCCTTGGGTTCAATCCCCATTGCCACTACTACCCACACTCACTTCAGGAAGGAAAGTGTTATTGTCATAGACTACTTAAAGAAGATTGTCCTTCTAAGAAAAACAGGTGTAGGGATAGAGAGATGGCTCAGCGGTTAAGAGCACTTGGCTGCTCTTCCAGAGGTCCTGAGTTCAATTCCCAGCAACTACATGGAGGCTCACAATGATCTATAATGAGATCTGGTGCTGTCTTCTGGCGTGCATAAAACAGAACACTCACATACATGAAATACATAAATTTTGAAATACACGTGTGTGTGTGTGTATAATTTTTTTTTTTTTTTTTAAAGAAAGGTGTTGGTTATATTGCATGAGTCTACATTCCACAGTGCTAGACACTTAAGGAATTCCTAGGACAGTGAAGGTTGTGGTCCTCACCTTTTGGGAGCTCAGTAAGGAAACGAGATTAATAGTTCAGCTGGGATTGTGTGCAGAATAAGTAACTAGGATAACTAGGAAACTGCTGGAAGAGGTCAAGGTCAGTGGAAAACAGCAAGATCTGGGAAAGCTGATGGAAGACAAGAGGGAAGTCCAGTTCCAAAGCATGAATAGAGATTGGATGACTGGGAACAAAAAAGGCAGTGAGGGCCTCGGTGTCATGGGAAAGAAGAGGCTCCTGGCCTGGCTTAACTAGGGAGTTGCAGGCAGTATTACTAGCCACACCTTAAAGGTGACTAAGTGAAGCATTGACATGTCTGAAAGAAGTAGGCGAATTCATTCAGATTATTTGGGGTCTGAAAACCATTCTTTCTTTCTTTTTTTTTTTTTTTAATGCTAAGATTTTAGAAGGATAAAGTGGTTTCCCTAAGTATACAAAATGCTAGAAATGAGACAGGAAATTGGAGTTGCATAAACTGAGCACACAGTGATAAAGAGCATGTGCTGAACACATACATAATTACCTGCTGCTGGTAGTGATGGTGTGATTTTTACACAATAAGCTCTCGAGTAGATCCACAGCAAATGGATACAAGGCAGCTAGTAGCTATAAATGACTTCAAGTCTCTTAGTTTCTTTCATGGGGTTTCACATAAAAATTTTTTAGAAGAGCTCAAGGTGAAGCTTAGTATAGTAGATGTTTAGCATTATGAGGCCCTGGGTTCAATGCCCAAGACTTCCCAAAAGATGACGACTACTGTGGGACTCAAGTGTTCAGGTTTTTTTGTTTATTTTTTGATGGGCAATGAACAAATTATAAGGATTTGAAGCACTGCTGTTAATGGAGGACTGCTTCTTCTGTGCTCAGTGTTAAGGCTGGTTCAGTTAGGGTCAGTATACAGTCTCTGGAGGTGAGATCTCTAGATCAGCTGGTGGCAGCAGAATACTTGGGGAAATAGCTTTAGATGTATTGTCTGCCTAACATCTCAGATAACAGTTTCTGCCTGCTCTATATCTAAGCAAGCCAGTTTACCTTTCTAAGCCATTATCCTCTTATGAGAATGCTTTGTGAGGAAAAGCAGCATCACTTTTAACATGAAAGGCTAAATTTTTCTACCTTTGTACTTGAAATACAAGGGTATAGTTTAGCTATGTTTCCCTGAAGACCAGATAGAGCTAGTCAAGATCCAGAGAAGGGAAGTGTCAGACAGAAAAGTAGGGATCATTACTGTGGGAAAGCAAAGCCTGAAAAAAAGCATGCTCAGGAGTTAGGAACCAGCCAGTAGTCTTTAAGAGTTCTGCAAGGGCTACCTCAAACAGGGTGTGACTGTTCGAGAACAGCACAATGATAGCTGTGTGAAGTAGTCATTTTGGAGGTATTATAAACAAATGATGACTAAATTTTTTTTAGAGATAAGATCTAGTTCTAAAGAGAAAGTATGTCTGTGGCTGCGGTGAAACCTTTAAGACTGACATTAGGTATGAGGGTAAGTGTGACCCTGGCCCATCCTGTGTTGACGGGTCCATTGATGACTGGACCCTGGCCCAGTGTATGGGGCCCAACCCATAGTATTATATTCTTGGGAAACATAAGATTGAGTAAGATACACTTAATTTCAAAATTGACACATTAGCCAGGCAGTGGTAGTGTGCTTGGCAAAGGCAGGTGGTTCTCTGTGAGTTTGAGGCCAGCCTTATCTACAGAGCAAGTTCTAGGACAGCAAGGCCTATACAGAGAAACCCTAACTCGAATTAAAAAAAAAAAAAAAATCTGAATTAATAGAAAAAAATACATGTAATTAGTTTTTCAGGAATTAAAAAATTATTTGTTTGTTTGATTTTGTTTTTGTTTTTTCGAGATAGGGTTTCTCTGTGTACCCTTGGCTGTCCTGGACTGTGTAGACCAGGCAGGCCTCAAACTCACAGAGATCCATCTGTCTCTGCCTCCCTGGGTGCTGGCATTACAGCATGTGCTACCATGCCCAGCTGTAATTATTTATTATACAAGCAAGGACCTTTATTACAGAGTGCAATGTATATCCTCTTGAGTAAGATATTAATATATGGTGGTCCTGGAGAAATGACTCAGCAGTTAGGAAGATTTATCCACTTGCTCTTGCAGAGGACCTGAATTTGGTTCCCAGTACCTAATCAAGTGACCCTCTGGCATCCAAGGGTGCCTGTATGCACATGGTACACATTGACTCACATGACACATGCACATAAATGAAAAACAAATGTAAGTGTGTGTGTGTTTATGTAAAAATAATTGTGAAGTTTTAGACATCTGGCTTTTCCTTTCCTTACCAAAACATCTAATAAATTACGTTGGCCTCCCACAATTAGAAATAGAGAGCTGAACCTGCCTCATCAGACTTCTGTGTTGAGGACAGGACTTAAGAGATGGATTCAGCTCTCCAAGCCACAAATTCCCACACCTATTTTAAAATATAGAGGGAAAAATAACTTCAGCATAGCTTTGTTAACTACCAGATGACCACAGTTATGTGACAGTCTACCTTGGACAAGTCTGTCCTTGGTTGCTGCTCATCAAAGAAGAGGTGAGGCTCAGAGTTTAAAATGTTGATCAGACACTGGGGAGATGGCTTTATGGCTTAAGAGTACTTGCTGCTTTCCTAGAAGACCATAGCTGTTTCCCAGCACCCCTAATAGGTAGCTCATAATCTCCTATAACTGCACTTCCAAACGATCTCACATCCACCTACATGTAATGTACAATACACACATACATGAGCATGTGTGCTTAAAAATCCAAATAAATATCTTATTAAAAATTTTTGATGGGGGGGCAGCTAAAGGTGCTTGCTACCAGTCCTCATAATCAGTCCTCAGAACCCACATTGTGGGAGGAGAGAACTTACTCCCTCAAGTTGTTCTCTAGCCTCTACACTAGAACCATGGTCTGTCTGTGTGCTCACACATACACTCACACACATGGTGGTTCACAACTGTCTATAACAACAGTTCCACATAATCCCACACCCTCTTCTAGTCTTCATGAGCGCTAGGCATGCACATGCACAGACATATATGGAAGTAAAACATCCATACACAGTAAATTAACTGGGCAGCTTGTGACTAGAAACCTTAGTTTCCATGGCAGTCTTTATGGCCAGTTCTCCCTTCTGCTTTCATGAAGTAGGAAAGGTCAGTGTTCTGACTCTCTTCTCACAAGAGAGCCAGGGGTTAGAAGTTTAAATAGTAAGATGTCCAGGATCCCAGACTCAAGTACCTTTTACATCAAGCCACATATAAGGTGAATCAGGCCTGGCTGGTATAAGGTGTCTTGAGTCTGTACTAAAGGTGACTCTTCTAGAAAAATGTGTGGTTGGTGAAGAATATACTGGTTTGGAACTGTGTGAACATGCTCTTTTCTTTTCACCTGGCAT